TGTGGAAGGAGCCTGCTCAGGCAATCTCTTCTGGAGGGAGAATTCCTTTTAAAGTTTAATGGGAAATCCTATCTGTGCTGTAGAATCCAATACAGATCTTACAACGAATAAATAGGAAGGACTCCCCTGAATCCCTTCACCTTCAAAAGTTGCTTACTGAAAAACCTGATACCTGGAGCTGATGTGCAAGTGAGCGTAAGAGCTGCTCTCCTGGCTCTGGCTGCACTCCCCAGCAAGTCTTTGGAGTCAGTTCTCTCCAGCTTTTCCCATCTGGATGCTGCTCCCTTTGAAAAGTAAAGCTTTCCTTAAAAGCAGTTTATTCCTCCCCATCTCGCTCAAGGTGGGGGTAAACTTTCTGCTCACTGTACCAATTAAATCTACTTGACAGCCTGATTTTTATCGCCGTGCCTTTTTCCATCAGCAAGTGGAAATGATCCTTGTTAGGCGAGCAGCATCCCACTTTACAACAAGATGAATCCCGAACTGGGCATTTAAGGAAATTGCTACAGTCTTGGGGGGGGCAATCCTGTTTGCTCAGCACTCTCTAATTCAAAGCTGAATTGTGTTCTTTCATTTTCTGTAAAGCCTCTGCTTTTGTAATACCAAGATCTTGCCGCACCCCGGAGTAGCCTCTGTGGTGGGAGAGCAGTGGTGTGCAATTTGCTGAGCAGCTAATAACGTGCAATCCAAGGGTCTGGCCCCAAGGGCAAGGAGCCGTTGATCTTGACTTCAAACAGTGTTCTCTGCAGCAGCCCTGATGCTGAGAAGTGATTAAGGGTGGGAACAGAAACCAAAAGGCCCCAGCCCTTTGTCTCACACTCGAAAGCAATGGCAGGATGGGAGCAAAAGGTGGATTAGAGAAGCCTTCATCCCAATGGAAATGGCTGCAGTTGCCTTTTCCGGGCTCTTCCCAAAGGAAATGGGAGAATTTTCCAGGTGTTAATTTAATGTACTGGGGGATTCAAGGGGAAAAGAGGGCTGTTAGGGCTTTACAAATGGGAAAAGATGTAGCTTTCCATCCCTACAACCCTGACTGAGATGCCATGGGCAATCTGACAGCAGAGAGTGGATTTCTTGTGCTGCTGAATTTTGGCATAAAAGCAAAGTAATTGTCCCTAATACCATATAGGTCTTCAAAAGGTCTATATAATATAGATAAAAGGTCTATATAATATAGACCTTTAAATAGGTCTTACTTTTGGAAGAGCATCCCTGAAACAAATCTATTCTCTTTCTTACTTTAAGACCTTTGACGTTAGTTCTAATCATCCCAAACTCACAATCCTTTGTGAGGGGTATGAAGATATGGTAGGGTAGATACGTATGAGATGGTCTAAGAATGTAGGGGAAAGGGTTTCTGTGCCCAAAAGTTTGTCTGCTTTTTCCAATCTTAGCCCTCAGTCTACGAAAAGAAATAGTTCTTTAGTATGAGCCTTATATCCACATGTCATTGAGGAAAGTTTAGCTAAGAATTAAACTAAACATCATATTTGGCTGCATGTGTAATGAATAAATAAAGCCTTCTCCTTTTACGTACCCGTGCCAAAATCAACAAGCTCTATTAGCTGATGAAACAATGCTGACGCCAAATAAAAATACCCCTGACCCATCAATACAAGCTAAGAGCTCGGCCCTGCATCAAAGAGTGTTGTCTGAACAAGAAATACTGTCTCAACACCTCTGGGAGGGGTAAAAAGGGCTCCGATCCCAGTGGGAAGCTGGGCTTCCTGTGCCACTGGTTGGGTGCAGGAGCTCTCAGGGAGCAGCAACACCATTCCATGGCGACTGTTGGCTCATAGGAACTCATCTGAAATCTGCTTTTAGCTGCTCTGTGCCATGCCCTGGATGAGATCTTTGACCACAGAACTCTTGCTCTCATAGAAGTCTCGCCCTTCCCTCAACATCCCTGGTTAAAAGAATCTGTTTGTTCCCTATTAGTCTTCAGTCAAGCGGTTAGATTCATTCAGGCTTTTATTTACTTATCAATCTGTCTTCCTGCTCCCATCACTCCCCCCTGCCCTGCCGGGGGGGAAGTACGAGTCATTTTTCAGGTGACCCTGCTAGAAAGCCATTGACATGAATAGGAGAAGGTTCAGAAACCGTGGAAAAGGCAAAACCCCTGACTTTAATAAGCAGCAAAACTCTTGCCAACCAGAAGGGAGCAGGCAGATGTGACTGGAACTGCTGTAAAACAGAAAGGACAATCCTCCAACAACTCCTGCAATCCTCCAGGCACTTCCTTTTGCAGAACTCTCTATCAGCGCTGCTCCACGTTCTTACAACCATAGCAGTGTGTGATCCTGCAGGCTGTGCAATGCCTGCTCAGGACCGGTACAGCCCCAAGGAAACACAGGGTCCTGACTTGAAGCAGGACTCTCCTCCTCTACCTGCCCGCAGCGATGCCCCGCGTGCGGATGGCATCCTCCTCCCTCTTGTGTGGCTGCCTTAAGCACAGAGGGATGTTTGTGTGTGTTTTTGACTTTGATTTCAGCTGTCTGAGCAGCGCAGGCGTCCTGCCAGGCTGTGCTTAACTCCGAGTAACGTCAGTTTAACTGCGCGGGCAGTACCCCGCTGGTTTGAAAGACACCTAAGAAAGCAATACAGTGACCACGAGAACCTCTCTGCTGGAGAGCCAGGCTCCTCCGAGAACCCACCTGTTATAGGGAAATAATTAAAACCTGAAGAGAAAGGATAACAAGACACCAAAAGGCACCCGAGCAGGAGCTGCGCAGGGTTTGTGTGAGCTGCTTGCCCTCCTCTCACAGCAAGGGCTGAGGCTTGGAGGATGGAATGAAGGCTGGGCAGTGACATTGATTTTTGCCCAGCACTTCCTTGCGCTGGGGTAGCAAAGCTCTGCTCACATCCTCTGCGGGCTCTGCTCGCCTCTCTCTGCATGTCAATAGGTGTCAAGCCACCACTCAGGGCTGGCGATGGAAGGGCAGTTTCTTGCTGATTCCACTTTCTACCGACCATAAGGGGATGCTCAGCAGTAAATGGCCACGTGTCTTTGTGACAGAGGCTGTGAAAATGGCCCTTGAGGGCCTCCCAGCACTCCCCACTCCAGTCTTCAGGCTGAACTGGAGCCTGGATCCCTCCTGCAGCCATCTCCTACTGTGTACCAAGTGCTCACCTCAGCAGGGCTGCTCTTCATCTGTTTCAGTTTTAAAACTCTCTAATCCTCTGGAGAGGACAGTACTGGTGTAAGATGGGGCGGAAAGGGCCATGGATACAGTGGGGATTCATAAACCTATCCCAAAAATCAACATGCAATATAGTACTCTTGTTTTTAGCTTGAGTCTTCATCAGGGAGATGCTCAGGGATGCTGCTGTGAGCGCTGGTTTCTGGTTTGGGAGATGAGAGCTGGGCCAGGCATTCACCCGGGGTGAGGCAGGGACAGGAAGAGGCAAATCCATGTTTTGCATTTGTGTAACTCCCATTCGTGGCTGTACACGGTGTTTGCAAGTGTTAGAGCACATGGCAGGAGTACGCTACAAGGAGATGCTGCTGGCGCCCAGAATAGAAGGGTTTTAGCTCAGTATTGACTGAATCAAGAGATGTAGAGAGCTGATTGCAGTTTGTGTCTCTTGCTTCCTGGGAGGTCAGTGGAGCTGAAGCCTGGAGCATCCTTAGACACAAAGAGTTTGCAAATACCTGCAGTGAATGTAGTGGAACGCAATCTGGAGTTCACCTCGTAATCCTTCTGCAGCCAGTCAGATAAATGGAAACACAGACTGACCCATCAACAGTTAACTGTTTTGTTTGCAACCTTTGACTTAATCTTTCTTTTCTAATGGTCTTTTAAAAGGGAAAGCTGCTACTTATCTGGAATTAGTGGAAATGTCTTCCTTGGTGCTTAATGAGACCCCTTAGGCTGGAGGGAACTGGCAGCGTGTTCTGATGGTTGTAAATATTTGGCATCTCTTGGTATCAAAGCAGCATTTTTCTCTTGGGATTTCAATAGATGCCCTGAGTTTGCTGAGTTTGGGGTATTTTCTAGGTATTGGGGTATTTTCTAGGTATTGGTGCATTTTCTAGGTGGCAAACTGAGGCATGGATAACGCTGGCAATAGAAAATGGGACTAGGTCCACTTATTGAGAGATAGAACTCCCCTTCTCATTACAGGTAGTAAAAGAATAATATACTACTTTTAGAAGGCACTCCTTAACCAGTGGAAACCCTGTCTGCATGGGCTGGCTCGGTCCCTGTGCCTTAAACATGCGCTTGGACCACTGCTGGAGGACATCTGGGAGGGGACATCACAGCCATAGTGTTTTGCTCTTTGCTTTGACCCCTGAACTCTTTTTAACAATGTAAAGCCTTGTGAATTATAAATCAAATGCTCCTGCTGAGCTTTGTGGTGCACGGAATGAAATGCAATGATTAATATTTAAAAGAAAATAAGCTAAAGATTTTAACTACAAGGGCAAGTGTCTGTCCACAGACTTCTCATGTGGAGGCTGGAAGAGAGGGAGGAACACGTTTTCAGGGACTTCAGTGAAATCTGTGCCTGTCACCAACTGCCCGAGGTGCTGGTGCATGGGGACCACACTGGCCTCTACGACCCTGCTCCTTGCTCTTACTCATGCTGTACCCATCTTGGTAAAACCCTGGTGCCAGTGCAGCCTTTTGGGATGGGACTGGTGCACACATCCTGCATCTGCTTGCTTCAGCAAGCAGAGGAGTGGCTCAAGTTGTGTGCTCCCCGGGGGCAGAGCTTTCCCAAACCCCAGGCCATGACTTGCTGAGCTCTCCCCAGCTCCTCCTTGCCCTCCCTCATACCAGCATCATCCCTGCTGTAGGGCTGGCCTCATCACCACAGCACCGGGATGGTCAGGATGCCTTCTCCCCATTGCAGACCCCAGGTTGAGAGCTCAAGGCAGCAGCCCCCGTTGCCACCCTGAACTGAAATGTCCTCATAATGGCACCTCAGCAGGGCACTGCCTTTAGCCACCTGCAAGCCGAGTCTGTTAGAACACATCAAACAAAGAGAACACTTACATGGGTGCAGAACCTCTCCGGCGGGTCCCCGCAAGTGATTCCTGCTGGATCCACCCGGACGGTCACATAATCCTTCATCCGCATGGCCTTGGGTTGACAAGCATAAAACTCCCATGACGGTCCATCGTCCGTGGTCACCCAGGACTTGCAAATGTCATACTGTCCCATGGCCAAGGGGAGACAGTGCGAGAGGAGAGCAACCAGGTAGAGCATGGCAGCTGCGGCCAAGTGTGGGATCCCTGGTTGAGGGCAGTGCCGAGAGCCCCAAGGAAGGCAGCGACTGAGCTAGGGGTTGCTCTCGGGATCAGCATGGAAACCGCTCATCTAAATATGATCCAGTCGAAGGGAGATCCAGATGATAACAGGAATGATTCCACTCAGCACGCTGTATTTGGATGTGGAAAGTTTTCTCTCGGCACAGAAGCCAACTCTGCAATTCACTTGATTGGGAAAGTTTTGGCTGGAGTTGCTGATCAGTGGTCAGAAGTCTCCCTTAGCCTCATTTTTTCCTCCTTTTATTGTATGAAAAGGCTTCCAAATCAGCATGAAAATATCTAAAGGTGACTCCAGTCAATCAATAGAAAGATCAAGTTCTGAGTTGCTGATGAAATTTGATAGGATTAAATTGCAGAGGCCGTCAGATGGTGCTGGATCAGGTTTTCCTCAACCTTCTTGTCTGCCACAAATGCTTCGCTGTGGAAAGTGCCTTAAACTGTGGTCTGCCTTAAAGAACTATTGGGGGGGGGGTGTTGAAGATTAATACATAGATATAGCATCTGGTCATCAGTACAACTGTGATAAGAGAGACCCTTTGGAGCTAAAATCCCTTTCTCCCAGGGCTGTCTGTGTCAACATGAACACGTTGGGTGATGATGTCCGAGTGGTCTGGGTGCTCAGTGGGTTCATAAGAGCAGTGCTGGTCGTGCTGCTTCTCCCTCTGCCTCTCGCAGTGGTGGGGAGGCACTCACAGGCAGGGATTTCTCTTTGACTCTGCCTTTTGGCAACTGAGCACCGAGTTCCCCAAAGCCCTCAGCTGCAAGCCATGCTGCTACGTGAGGTCTTTCCTCTCTCTCATGGTCAGGGCAAAGGGAACGTTCATTATCTGGCTGCACCTGCAACAAATTGGAAGACAAATTAGCTGGGAGCAAAAGGGGACACTTGAAGCAACAAGACTTGTAAGAACAGGGGTCCCCCAGGAGATGCAGCCCTCAGCTGGGCTTCCCAAGCCACAAGCCAGGGGTTTGTAAGAGGGAGATCTACAACTTTAATAAAAAGAAATCCATAATACGATGCTTATGGTTTTTCTGCTGTGTGGGAGATGGGAAGGAGCACTGCCCCATTTGAGGTATCTGGTTTGTAACAGCGGCTGGGCAACAAGAGCTCTAATGGGTCTTCAAATAATATCCAGCAGCAGCTATAGGTCATTAGAAGATGGAGAATATGCAGACACAGAGCAGGGACAGACAGAGAAATGGCTGGTCTTAAAAAGATAAGCAAATAAGTAAGACAGCTGGGGAGACAGATACATTGTCCAGCGTCCTCACACAAGATTTATCTGAACAATAACGTTTAATAAAAAACAATTTAAAGTCCTAATAACATTGTGAAGGTTCACCTAATACACAGAGCAACGACCTTCCCAGTGTTCATTTCAGGTTAGAGCAACATTTCTGCAATTTTGTTGTCTTTCCAGCAGAGCTATAAAAATCTTCAGTAATTGCAAAACAAAATGACAAAGAACTGGGGGAAAAATAGTAATAAACCCAGTCAAACCCTGCCTCAGTGTCAGATCCAGGGGGGAGCTCTCATACGAGAAGGTGGGAGGCACAGATCCAGCATAGAAATTCAGCTCTGGATAATTCCCTCTCTAGTCAATTCCCCAACTTTCTTCCACAATTTAGGGATGTCTGCTTCAACAGCACCTCTAGCATTTGCTTTCTCATAAAGCTCAGTTACTCAAACTCGGCAACTCCAGGTTAACAGATGCATTAATCCATGTTTGGGGGGGGGGGGGGGGCTTCGTGTCGCTGTGCTACCTCCTCCCTTTCCCCCCCCCCCTTTTTGATTGAAAGATTGCTGATTGAGATGAATGACTTCAGAAAAGAGAAAGCTGTCTCTCATGCTTCGTCGCCAGCTCTCAAAGGAGAGCCTATTACAGCGGCGCTGGACCCGAATAAACTCCCAAAGAAAGAATAGACTGGCTGCTATTTTTACATTCTGAGTAGATGTAGTAAAAATAATAAAGCAGTGTGACAGTGTTTGTAAGTCCCGCTGACATCAGAGCTGTCTTCTCAGTTACAACGAGTCAGCACCTAATTATTACATCAAACTGGGCACAGCCAAGTGCCTAATAACAGCGGAGAGCGCGAGACTGGTATCGTATAGGAAACAGGCAGGGTGGTTTTAATGAGGACCCCAGTGTTAAGTTTATGGATCTATTTTCATAGCCTTAACTATTATGTTTTGCACTTGAATGGCTGTTAGGGAAAAACCCGGGAAGAAAGGATCTATAATATCTGTTAGTGCCTTGTTATGCCGTCTAAATGTCACAGATTCCCAGGGAACTAAAAATGCGCTGGAAAATGTATTTACTGTCAGTCAAGCAGCCAAGCGTGCGGGTCCCCTGCGAAGTCTGTGGTGCAACACTCCCCAGCATTGTCCCTTTGCAGAAAGAGTTGCTCTGAAATAAGCCAGCACAGTGCAAACGGTGCTGGGGGAGAGGCTCCCCCAATTCCAGGTTTTGCCCTGCTTGATTTGGCTTGGGTCTTAAGAAATCTTCACCCAGTATTATTAAGAAACTGCAGTCCATGGGAACAAATAGAATCAATGTTCTTTGTTTTCTTTGAAGAGTACTCAGCAATCACTGGGGACTGATAGCCAGAGTATTAAAAACACAAAATTAGATTGCATCTTGGCTTAGCTGGTTCCTTCTCTTTTATTGTTATTATTATTGGATTAACACCCTACTGAAGTAAAGGGACGACGCTGAGCAACAACTGAGCTGCTCTGGAATGAAGATGAGAAAGTAAACTCCACGGAGGAGTTTTCCATTTGCTTGCACAAGAGTCGCCATCCAAACGAACCCCAACCGCGCTCAAACCCCCGCTGCCCGAGCGCGAGTTTGCCTCTTTTTCCCCTTCCGAGCATCCCTTCCCCTCGCACTCAGAGCCAAAGTTGGGGACCACCCTGCGTTCCGGGGAGGGGGGGGGACGACTGCGCCCTACAAACACCGCGGCATAGCCCTGGGGGGCACCGCGCTCTCCCCCCGCAACGCCCGTGGGGCTTCGCTCCCGTTCAGCCGCTCCCCACGGTGCGATCGCGGCTCCGGGCGAACCGCTCCATCCCCCGGTTGGTTCATCCCGAAGGACTCACCGGGAGCTCCGGGAGGGGCCGAGTCCCCTTCCGTCCCCCCCCACATCCCAACCCCGGCCCCGCCGCCTCCATCCCTCGCCTCCCGGTTCCCTCCGGAGACCGGGAAATAAACCCCATCCCGTTGTGGGGATCCCGTGGGATCGCACGCACAGCGGGAGAGCCTCGGAACAACTTTGGAGGCGCGGGGGTCACGCTGGGTCTGGGAGATGGGGCTGCCCCCACCCCGTTCCCCCCTTCCCTCCCTCTTTTCCTCCCCTTCTCCCGGTGCTCGGCTCTGCAGGTCCTTACCGGAGGGAGCTCTGCGGCGCGGGGCTCTCGGCGGAGCTGGGAACTTCGGGGCTGGGGGGACCCCCCCTTTACACCCCACGGACCCCCCGCCCCCCCAGCCCGGCGGGCTGCCGCTGCGCCGCCGGCCCCCAAGGGCAGATGGCCGGGGGAGCTTTGTGCAATCCCCGGCTCCCCTCGCAAGTTAATGCCGAGGCTGAAATCCCTCTCGCTCTCACTTTCAATCACAATCGGAGCTTTTATCTCCGTGCCTGATCCCGGCTGCGTAACTTCCTCTGTGCAGCTTTAGCACACACCATCCCACCGGCGAGCAATGTGCTTCTTAAAGGTGCAGGGAGGAAATGCGAGCGGGGAAGGGGGGGGGAAGAGGAAAGGGGGAGGGAGGAAAACCACCCGAGGAAGAGGAGGCTGCGAGCGGGAGCCTCCAGCACCGCCGGCTCCGTGGGTACCGGTGGGGCAGGAGCATCCGTGCTGTCCCGGTTACCTCCGGCTGGGGAACGGCAGGGCTGGGAATGCCGCTCCTGAAAGGGTCTTGTTTAAAAATTCTGCCTATAAAAGCTTAAAAAAACCCATAAAAATAAAAATCATGAGACCATGTTTGTGCGGGGGGGGGGGGGGGAAGCTCCAGTCACGAGGGTTTCCCCACACGTGTAAGTTCTTGCTTGGTGTGCCCTGAATATTTTGGGGAGGCTTCTGCTGGCGAAGATGCTGTAAATGAGGCTGCGTGCCTGTGTGTTGGGGGAAGAGGGGGTGGTTGGAATTAATAGGATAAACAAAGCAGGAATTCGGAGATGGGGAAATCAGATGGCTGGGAGATGCTGTGGGAATGTGCTCTGGGATTTAACCAAACCAGGTTTTTCTTTGGTAACGCAGGGGATGTAAGGTGTGATAACACCTTCCAGCGCAGGGATGCAGAAGCTATAGGTGTTGCTTAAGTCAACTCTTCGGTGTTCATGCACATGGATAAATGACAGTCCATTTATGGGGAGGGAAAGCAGAGAATCCCCATAGCCCCCTATGTACACAACCACCAAAAAATGGCTGTTCCTTCCTAACCAAGAATTCAATGACTTCCAGCCCAAAAGCGCATTGTCCAACCTGTGTGTGCTTTGCAACTTCATCAGCTCAGTATTTCTGTACATGATTTCCTTTTCCTCATTGCTCTGAGGTCCCGATGTGGCTTCTCCCACCTACAAGGCCCTGGAAAACGCACAATCCACCCTGTGACTGGGCAGAGGTGATTTAGAGTTGTTCTGGGAAACGTTTCCCCTATATTGGAGCATAAGTGAGATCTTGACTGTGGCCCAGCCTCAATGTTCCACTGGTGACCAGGGTGGTCTTTACTGCAAGGCTGTCTTTGATCCTGGCTCCATCTCCGTTCCTCTGATCAGGGCATGGACCGATACTTTCTATATGGTAACTTTCCCTGTAAACGCTTGTTTTATGGCAGTAGTATTACTGAAGTGGGAAGCACTGGCTGGGAATTCAAGGCTGGCTAATATTCCTGGATTTCACTTTGTGCCTTTAGGTCTTCTCTGTAGTAATGACTCCCCTGGAAATTCCCCACGTCGCACTTATTACTCCTTTATTAGTTATTATGGTAAAGTAACTGGATAAAAAGGAGTTGGTATTTCATTTTCATTCCCCCTAATAGCCACGGCAAAGACCAAGTGGTGTGCTGATTATTGACATCAGAGTTAAGTGATACGCACGCATCATTAGGTTTCAATTGGAAAGAATAACAGCACAGTGTGAGTCGTCACACTTCTAAACTACATGGCATTTAAAGCAAAAGCCAAGTCGTTTTTTTCTCAGCCCTGCAAGCTCAAAAGATCAGAAGCTGGGAATAAGACTTGCATAGACACAGGTAAAAGGTGCTAGCTCCAGGCAAATCACCAGATTTAACTAATCAGAGTAACCCCCCCAGAGAGGCTGGCAGCAGCTGCAGGGCTTGTCCAAGGTTATGCAGTGATTCAGGAGATCCAGGAACAAGCTTCAAGGATGGGAAAGCTGCTCTTGTTCTTGGAGTGAACCCACAGCTTTGGCTCCCAGGGTCTTTAGGCTGGGAAGGGAGAGAGATGGTCTGTGGCACTCGCAGCCCAAAGGAAGCGATGCAAAACAGTGTTGCTGTCCTGGGTGGGAAAGGGATGGAGAAGAGTTGCGGTGTATGTTTAATTTTAGACCATTTGCGTTGTTTTACCCAGTGCATTCTGCAAATACTTACTGCTGGGTGTCATTCCCATCTGGGTGAAACTGCTGGGAGGAGTGAGATGGATGTGCTTTACCTTGAGGGGACACCTCTGCCCCCTGGCTTGTGCTGAGCACTCCCTTCTCACACAAGGAGAGCATGGTTGAAAATCAATGGGTCTGCACCGAGATTTAATTACTACAGTGTAGGCAGGGGTGGAGAATAAGGCCCTTAATATTTAATACAGCTTCTACTCCCAGAGGGATCCCCGGGGCTCCAGGGCCAAATGTAAACCCATTATAAGCAGGTGTAATTCTATTGACATATGCGGGCTCGCACCTGTTTATACGATGGCTGTGTTCAGCTCCCGAAATCTAAATGGCAAATGGTGCTTTTGACATGCGCAGAAGAAGAGGGAAGTGTTTTCCTGACTTGGGATGATAGAGGATGTACAGAAAGAACAGAAGGTAAACGTGACACCTCGCAGTCCCCGTTCGCGGTGGCGATGCGCTTGCTAACACTTGAGCTGAGTTGAGTCCGTGGAGAGAGATCCAAGATTACTGCCAGAATAATAACCAGGCTTATGAAGGACCTTTCATTTGGGAGATGCATGTTGCTGTATCACCTATAATAGCAATGCGTTCTTTTTATAGTCCTTATCTAGCAATGTGCGGCCAAGGATGTCAAAGTGCCTACTGCAAGTGAGTAAGCATTTTACTAGGTGGAAACACACAGCTTGTAATTGTGCTCCGAGCCCAGGAGCAGGTGAGAGACCCCTTTGCAAAGGGGTGTATTTGACAAGTGTGGACCCCTTGTTCCGGCAGGGGCTTTTTCCAGCCTGCCGTGACCTCAGGGATGAAGTTTGCAGGGAAAAGGGAAGAAATGACTAAAGGTGCTTTGTTTGGGATGTTATGGATGATGGGAGGGAAAGCTGCTTGAACCCTGCACTTTTCGGGTAGGGGATTTGTCTCATCTCACCACCCTTGCACTGTCCTTTTGTTCTTAGCGAGCTGAATGTGGAGAAAGCTTGATCAGAAGGGGCAGGTCTGTGCTTCTCAGTTCCTTGTGCTTGGTGCAAGGACCAAATCACCGAGTTCTAAAAGGAAGGGAGACGTAATATTTTGTAGTTAGCAGAAATGCTGGGAAACCCACACAAAGCCTGAGAAACTGAGCAACAGCCAGCGATGGTACACGCAGTCCACAGGGTGGGTGGGGGAATATTTATTTCCATGCCCTCCCTGCACAAGGGACCAAACTCGCAGGTCCTCTGCTCTTAGGCACACACATACACACACCCCTGCGAGCAGGAGAGGGAAGAGCTGAATGCTTCAGTCCCTGGGGTACCCTACAGTCTTTTTTCCTTTGTGAAAGCTACTGTGGAGATGGCAGAGAGCATCTGCTCTGGGAGGGGAGGCTTCCCCCGGCTCCCTGCCTCACACCCTCTCTGCAAGCCTTCAGATGCATTTTCTGCAGCTTAGATGGTTTTAGAGGGCCCTGGGTGAATTTTGCCCTCCCTGATTAGATAACCAAAGGAGCAGTGACTGTACTCTCCCGAGAGAAGATGCTGTCTCTTTCCTGCCAGAAGGACAGCTGGAGGGAGGGTGGGATCTTCAGCATGCGAGCACTTAGCCAGATCAAGGAAATGGGATGCAAAGCATTTTAGGCTAAGAAAGGTTGTTGTGCAGGGAAACATGAAGCTGCTGTTCTGTTAGGGAGATAACGCCTCTCAGAACGCTCCTGCGTGCCAAGCTGCAAGCCTGAACTACGGCAGGTCATTGCCTCTTTAAGGAAAACAAGCATGACAAGTCAGAAAGAAGCCCCAGTACTGCTTTTGCTGAGAAAACTTTGATCATTTGAATATTATTGATGCACATTAACCCCAGCAGAGAGGGGCTGGGTGATGGGAAGTACTTCACCTTGACACAGGGAAAATATGTTGCCTTCTGTTGCCTTGTCTTCTGCCTTGTCTCTGGTTTCATATATCAAATCAGAGCTTAGCCAAGTGAATCAGCTCAGGAAGCATTTAAGATTGAGTTGATTTTGGGGAAGGTAGAGCCTTCCTTATCGTTACCAACTGTGGGGGAGTGAGCATGGATAAAAACAGGAGGAGCGCTTAAAGGGAGGGATCTATAATTAACAACCCCTCAGAAGGGGAACTTTCCTTTTAACTTACTATTAAAATGGAAGCGTCTGAGTATACGGTTTTGGCTCTGGGGATCTCCTCCGTATCCTTGACAGACCCCTGCGAATCCCTCTAATCCCTGCCTCAGAGCACGTCTGTGCTTTAAAAACAACTCCTGACACCCCACGGAAGGCTCACCCCAACCCATGGATCGATTCCCATGGGAAGCCTCAGTGTTGTCCCTCAGGGTGATGGGGAGCGGAGCTTCCTCGGCAGCCCCGAGTCTCACACTGGGAGGAGATGCCTTCCACAACTGCTTTTTAACCTGAGGAAGGAACATGTCACTTGCACTGGAGCTGACGGCAGCAGGGAGGGTTTTTAGGTTACTGGTTGAAGAACACACTCGTAATGAGCGAAGTAATTGAATAAATGCTGACAATTTGATGCAGAAAATGCATCATCAGCGAGCTGTGGAAGGTTGACTTGTTCCTTTTTTTCCCTCTCTCTTCCCTTAGCACTGGGATAAACAGTTTATTCTCTTCCAAGCAGGTGATGTGTTCAGCAGCACAAAACCAGCAGGCACATGCCCATGCTCCCCTCCCAGGCACACATGTGCCGATTGCCAAATAATTGACCCAGTTATGCTAATAGGCTATTTCCATCACTGGAACTTCATAAATACCTAAATAATCAATCTCAACACTTAACTTTTTATTGGGTCATGTGCTGGTCGAGTACTCACTTCAGCAGCTTCCCTGGCTCTAGCCCAATTACAGTAGCTGTGCCTACACAGGGGAGAAAGGTGCCAGGCCCTGGGTAGATACAAATGAGCCCACACCAGGTAGCACTAAGAGTCAGTTGTGCAGGAGTAACTGGCGTTTCAGATCCCAAACACAGCTGATGAACTGAGGATGTAGGCAGTGGAGCTGACACATCCCAGCACAGTGACTTTCCCTACCCAGCCACCATCTCAGCTTTACGCAGATGGAAACTCAGTGAATTTTCAAGCCCCCAGTTTCAGTCTGACAATGGGAACAGCATCGTCTGTGTCATGTATGTTGGAAGGAATGAATAGAGAGCTGAGCTCACTGATCTATTTGCATATTGAAGACATGAAAAAAAAACCTTCTTCTTGCTTACTCCTGCCTACTCGAATATCTGTGAAACAAGGAGGGTAATACGGGCCCTCTTTTTCCTTCAGATCTCAGTGCC